CTTCTTGCCACCAAGTGTCTGTATGTTTGTTTGTTTGTTACCAAGATGTTGGTTTTTGTCTTTTTGCCACCAAGTGTCTGTATGTTGTTACCATGTCTTCTTGTGTTATGTTGTTACAGATGTTTGTCTTGTTTGTCTTCTTGTATTGCGTGTCACTAAGAGTGTCTGTATGTTTGTTACCAGAATGTTTGTTCTTCTGTGCCACCAAGTGTCTGTATGTTTGTTACCAGATGTTTGTCTTCTTTGGCCACCAGTGGTTTTGTATGTTTTGTTACGCAGGTGTTTGTCTTCTTGGCACCAAGTGTTTTGTGTTGTTTGTTACCAGAGTGGTGTTTTGTCTTCTTGTCTTCACCCAAGAGTGTTGGTATGTTTGTTACCCGGTGTTTGTCTTTTTGTTACCAGATTTGTTTGTTCAGTGTTTGTCTTCTTGTCACCAAGTGTCTGTATGTTTGTTACCAGATGTTTGTCTTCTTGTCACCAAGTGTCTGTATGTTTGTGACCAGATGTTTGTCTTCTTGCCACCAAGTGTTTGTATGTTTGTTACCAGGTGTTTGTCTTCTTGTCACCAAGTGTCTGTGTGTTTGTTACCAGGTGTTTGTCTTCTTGCCACCAAGTGTCTGTATGTTTGTGACCAGGTGTTTGTCTTCTTGCCACCAAGTGTCTGTATGTTTGTTACCAGGTGTTTGTCTTCTTGCCACCAAGTGTTTTGTATGTTTGTTACCAGGTGTTTGTCTTCTTGCCACCAAGTGTTTTGTATGTTTGTTACCAGGTGTTTGTCTTCTTGGCACCAAGTTTTTTTTTTGTTACCAGGTGTTTGTTTTCTTGTCACCAAGTGTTTGTATGTTTGTTACTAGGTTTTTGTCTTCTTGTCACTAAGTGTTTGTATGTTTGTTACCAGATGTTTGTCTTCTTGCCACCAAGTGTCTGTATGTTTGTTACCAGGTGTTTGTCTTTTTGCCACCAAGTGTCTGTATGTTTGTTACCATGTGTTTGTCTTCTTGCCACCAAGTGTCTGTATGTTTGTTACCAGGTGTTTGTCTTCTTGCCACCAAGTGTCTGTATGTTTGTTACCAGGTGTTTGTCTTCTTGCCACCAAGTGTCTGTATGTTTGTTACCAGATGTTTGTCTTCTTGGCATTAAGTGTCTGTATGTTTGTTACCAGGTGTTTGTCTTTTTGCCACCAAGTGTCTGTATGTTTGTTACCAGGTGTTTGTCTTCTTGCCACCAAGTGTCTGTATGTTTGTTACCAGATGTTTGTCTTCTTGCCACCAAGTGTCTGTATGTTTGTTACCAGGTGTTTGTCTTCTTGCCACCAAGTGTTTTGTATGTTTGTTACCAGATGTTTGTCTTCTTGCCACCAAGTGTTTTGTATGTTTGTTACCAGGTGTTTGTCTTCTTGCCACCAAGTGTCTGTATGTTTGTTACCAGGTGTTTGTCTTCTTGCCACCAAGTGTCTGTATGTTTGTTACCAGATGTTTGTCTTCTTGCCACCAAGTGTCTGTATGTTTGTTACCAGGTGTTTGTCTTCTTGCCACCAAGTGTTTGTATGTTTGTTACCAGGTGTTTGTCTTCTTGCCACCAAATGTCTGTATGTTTGTTACCAGATGTTTGTCTTCTTGCCACCAAGTGTTCTGTATGTTTGTTACCAGATGTTTGTCTTCTTGCCACCAAGTGTCTGTATGTTTGTTACCAGGTGTTTGTCTTCTTGCCACCAAGTGTTTGTATGTTTGTTACCAGGTGTTTGTCTTCTTGCCACCAAATGTCTGTATGTTTGTTACCAGATGTTTGTCTTCTTGCCACCAAGTATTTTGTATGTTTGTTACCAGGTGTTTGTCTTCTTGCCACCAAGTGTCTGTATGTTTGTTACCAGGTGTTTGTCTTCTTGCCACTAAGTTTTTTATGTTGTATGTGTGATGTTTATATTACAGTCAGGAGTTTTACTTTCAGCTAAACAGACGCAAATATGAATAAGCCCATGATGGCCCAGTTACAACAGATGTGTAACAACAATACAATCTGATCCAAAAAAAACAATGTGTTATATTAACGGTGGGATACAAGAACAGGCTGTTATAACAACAGTAGGATACGAGAACATAGCTTTATAACAACAGTGTGATACAAGAACAGGGTACTATAACAGCAATGTGATACAAGAACAGTCTGTTATAACATCGATGTGATACAAGAACAGAGTGTTTTAACAATTATTTGGTACAAGAACAGTGTATTAAATCAACAATGTGACACAGGAAGATTGTGTTTAAATAACAATTTTACACAAGAACAGGGTAAGGTGATACATGAATAGGTTGTTATAATAACAATTTGGTACAGTAAAGGGTGTTTAAACAAAAATGTAGTACAAGAACTGAGTGTTATAACAACAAGGTGATTCAAGAAGAGGTTTTATAACAATCATGCTGATACATGGAAATGGTGTTTAAAAAATTAGATATAAGAAGAAGATGTCATGAAAAACAATTAGATACTAGGAAAAGGTGTTATAAAAACATTATGATATGAGAACAAGGTTTTAGAAAAACAATTTGCTACAAGGAAATTACAACATTTCGATAAAAGAACAGGGTGTTATAACAATAATTTGGTACAAGAAAATGTTGTTATAAAACTACGTGATACAAAAATAGGGCGTTGTAACGACAATTTCATACTACAGCATCGAGCTGTGTCAACAATGTGATGCGACAACATCATACTATAACAAAAATACAATTTATTACTAGAAAAACTATACCATACTTACTACTAGACCCAAGTAAAGAAATGGCAACAAAATCTGGAAAGTAACACTACACCTGTTTAAGAAATGAGTCCACCCAGTGTTGACAGATTGTAAACCATAGACAAGAAAGCCAACCTATCTGGGCAATATATAATCAGCCATCCAGTGTTTGGCAATAGTCGTGGACGAGACAGAGTTCACAGACTACTGGTTATAAATTATCGGTCTGTGTGTGTGTCTTTGGTTAGTACTTGCCCGCCTAATATAAGTTTACTGGGCAGGGCACAAGATTTGAACAGACATCGAAGACAAGTGTATGAGGTAAGAGTTTTCTAGAGGCCGCAGCTGTCCGCCTTCTGCTCCTCCTCATCCTACTTACTACTTACTACTTACTACCACCGCCACAACCACCACCACCACCACCGCTACCACTGCTGCTGCTACTGCTGCTACTACTGCTACTGCCGCTACTACTGCTGCTACTGCTGCTACTGCTTCTTCTTCTTCTTTTTCTTCTTCTTCTTCTTTTTCCCTCTTTCTGCTTTTTCTTCTTCCATGTTTTTTTCTCATTCCTTCCCTCTTTTCTTCTCCGCCCTCTCTTCCTCATTCCCAAATCATTTGCATTCTTCT